TGGTTTTTTATGAAAATGGTATTGGTTTCATTTATTTTTTTAATGGATTGAATTTCTTATAGACAGACGAAGCAACACACATCGCAACATTATCAATTGAGCTCCTTGTCTTCTAAGTACTTGTATTCAAAGGTGAATCCCTCCTTCTTTCGCTGACTCCACTTTTCATAGTCAAAATAGATGTACGTACCCTGGGAATAGAGGGGAAAGGTAGGAAAGTTCTTGGTCAATAGACTGCTGTTGCTGCTGCTGATTAATTTCTCCGGCCATTGCCATTGCCATTTGATCTCCTTTGCTCACCTGTTCGTAATCATCGTTGATAATCTTGGGCTCCTCGTGCCGTTGAAACCACATCATGTACTTGGTGTGGAATCGCCAGCTTTGCTTTTTCAGTGCCTTTGCGGCCAGATATTGGGCTTTGGAGCCTTCCATGTAGTAGAATACAAAGAACAGCGTCTCCGTTGAGAGTCGTTGATAAAATTCAACAGTATCGTATATTGGCAGCTGTGCCTGGATTGAAGTGAAAATTTTATTTGTAAAATTGTAATTCATTCGCATTCATACACTATTCGCATGAAGACCCACCTGGGGATAGTGCGCTGGAGTGGGGACTGGGGCGCGATGGAAATACGTTTGGAGCTTCTCCGTATCCATGGGCTGTGGCAGGTGATAGTAGGCGGCCTCCATCATTTGAAACTGCACCTGATGTTCTTTCTGAAGTGGCGTTGGCCCCAACGGCGTTACTCCCAGCAGAGTCGGAATGTGGGCTTCCGTTGTGGCCATTTGCTGTTGGGAAGTATGCGTCTTGGCACTACCGCTGGTTGGCTGACCCGCAGCATTTGCCAGATTCATGAGCCCACTGCCAGTTGTGGATCCATTGCTGGCTGCCGCGGCATGTGCTGCAGCCGCAATTGTTCCCATTGCAGCCGCTGCCGCAGCAGCAGCTGCGGCTGCGGCTGCAGCTGCAGCTGCATTTTGCTGCTGTTGGGACGCCACTTGCTGCGGCTGGTTGGCAGTATTTTCCGTACTAAAATGCTGTTGTAGGAGTGATTGCTGCGACTGCTGCTGCCTCGTGTCAATGTTGCTTTGCTGCTGCTGCGTCTGCGGCTGCTGGCTTAGCGAATTTACATCGATCGCGGATCGATTGATGGCTTCCTGGGCCATGGTTTTCAATGAAATTGCATCAACGACATTGCTATTGCTGTCACTACTACTGACCGAGACAGGTAGACCTGCAAATATCAAATACATTTTCAATCAATTTGGTTAAATGGCACAGGGGAAGAGCCGTCTGGCTGCTCCCAGGGGAAATGCTTTTTTTAGGGGCTTTAACCAATTCTGATCAACATCTGTCGGGTGGCCAATCCGAGGCTTGAACCAAATGTGTTGTGCCGTTCCCGACAGATATTGGGACATCATACCGTTTTGCAAGTGTGAGGAATTTGTTTGAAGATTGGATAATTGTGCCGGCTGTTGCTGCTGGTGTTGTGGCTGTTGGGTCTGTGCGCCGGCTCCCACAATGGCGGCTACCGTTGTGGCTATGGGCTGTTGTTGCAGTACAGGACCGTTTTCCAGGAGTGCTAGAAAGAGGACTCCACGATAAATAAGAACTTTACGCATGCCTGTATCTGGCGCATACATGTGTTGTGTTTTGCCACCGCCGCAAATGCAATTGTTGGTGTTGCTTGAATCACAGATTGGCCTTGAACGTTGCTGATACTTGCAATCGCTGGTGTAGCAGAACTTGAGACGACTGCTGCGGCAGCTGCAGCAGCGATGCTGGCGGCAGTTAGGCCAGGCGTTGGGGCATGCGGCTGTACGGCAGGATTGTGACCACTGGCTGTTGGTGCGGCCGCCCCCGTGCCTGCGCTCACACTAGAGCTTCCACTGCCGTTGCCGCTACCGTTGCCACTACTGCTGCTCGGGGCTGAGTTGGAGGCAGCTACCACCGCTGCAGCCGTGGGCAGCTGCTGGTTTTTGCTGGGCGTTGAGCTGACAATCTTGACTTGAGCTAAACAATGGAGAGTCATTAGGAAGAGACGACAGGTACAGTTATAGGTACTTACTTTCACTACCCGGAGCCACCTTGGCCGTCGCACGAACGGGCGTGGGCTTGATGATCTGCTGGGGTTGTGGCTAAGAAAATAAGGAAATAAGGGTTCTGCCTCCATATGATCTCCATGTTCATCCACAATACTTACTTTCGATTTGCTGATGGTATTGCTTTCGCTGCTTTTGTTGCGTTTATCGCCGCTGCCGCCGCCTCCGCCCCCGCTTAAGGTGGCCGCGCTGCCCGCCGGATCCGTCGACGTTGTCGCCGAAGATGAGGCCGCGCTGGTATCGCTCGCATATCCCACATTGCTGCCATTCGACTGGGCCGCTGCCTGTTGCTGCTGGAACAAGGCAGCGCTGGCCGCGCTGCTACCAGTATTCGCTGCCGCCTGCACGGATGCCGGCAGCACTTGTTGTACTGTGACGGGCGATTGGGATGGACTGCCTCCGGAGGTAACACTGCTAGGGGACCCGCTGGTTTCGTTGCTATTGTTGCTGTCCGTTGTCGCCGTCCCGCTGAGCTCCACCTCGTCCAGGCCAATGATGTCGTCGTAGATGAACTCATTCTCCTCGAAGTCAGGCTCTTGCGACGAATCAATGTAATATTCGACATCGTCTTTGATCTTGTTCACTTGATCCGCTTCGACGCCGTCGTTGTCGAGCAACCGAAGCAGAGTTTCCAGCTTTGTTATGTGAAATTTATGCCTGTCCAACTTGGCCCGCAGGTCGTCCATGCGCTCCTGCTTATCCCGGTCTAATCGTTTCTTTTTACCCGCCAGCAGAGACTCAATTTCGCTTTCGTATTGATCAATTTGTATTTGCAGTGAGCTTATTGAGCTGGTTAACCAATTTCGCGCATCGTCTTTGATCCGCTGGGCTGGATCCATTTTTTGTGCGGCGCCCAAGCCTTCCTTGGAATAAGCCTTTGTTTTTGTCTCGCGCTCGACCACCTTGAAGCGTTCCATTTGCTGTTAGAGAATGAATGATTTTCAGTCACATCCAATACGATACAGTTTATTTAGAAAATCTCACCGTTTCAATGAGCCTTCGATTTTCAAGCAGAGAGCTCTTATCCTTGATCTCGGCCGAGGCAATCCAGGATTTGATTTGATCTCGTAATCGCTGAAGTTTCTTGATTTCCTTTTTGAGATCTGCCTCATATTTCTCCTGCAGATGTTTTTGCTGTGGAAAGAAAGGCAAGGAACAAAATTCGAATTAATTTGCTTGCTAAACTTCAAGAGAGAGCGGAGTGGAGTGGAGTAGAATATGGAGTAGAGCTGAGCTCCGTTTGATCCATTTGTTGATACAGTGTGTAAAACCATCCGCTAGACAGATCAGTTTACAAGTCTTACCTTCTGGTTAGTGTTCGTAGCATTGTGTACTTTCTTCCAAATATCTTCAAACGTTTCGACGCCCTCGGCTACTTTTTTTAAGCATCGATCAATTTCGCCTAGCCCCACAGAGAAAATAGAAAATACAGATGTGGTTGTTTGTAATTAGGAGACATTTTCACTTGTTTATGCAAATGTAGAGCACTGTAGAGCTGAGAAGGCAGACACACACACACACACACACACACACACACACATATTGCAAACACTTTTAAAAGGAAATCTGTTTTGCTTACCTTGCAGTTTCCTCGTCGCAGCCATGGCTATGTATGCTCTTGTGGATTCTGTTGACGCAGAAAGTCAGACATAGTCTGCTTCTAGCTGTGGCGGAGCAGTTCGTTGGTTATAACACCCTAGCCGCCTGGGCAGGAACCCTTTCTGTGCTCTGGAGTCTGCAAATGTTGCAAAAGTTTAATATTCAAGCAGTAGTTTAGAAGGGCCAACAGCACACACACAGACACAGAGCGCGGCGTGGCGGCGAAATGTGTCGAATTTTGTTGTGTGGTGATGCGCGTATCTTCAGATGGAGGGAGAGCACCGAAGAGTCAGTCAGTGCAGCGGACTGGGAACCCTCTGCTCTGGGTTAATTGACCATTTACCTCAATTTGGCGAGAACGCTCCTCAGTGCTCAGCCAATAAATGACTGATTTTCTTCTTGCGTGTAGGGATACCTTCGGGCCGTCCGTCGATGCAAGATTTCGATTTTTTGGCTCAACTCAGTTCTTTGGCGGTTTGGAGTGGCAAACACAAGGTGGCAGCTGTGCTTGTGTTGTCTTAAAGTTGATAAGTTTAGCTTTTAAAGTGTGCTGAGGCTTGAAAGATGTAGAGCTGTTTGCATTTATACATTTAAATACGCTTAAAGATTTTTCGCTTGCTTTTTGTTCTCTTCTTCTTCGCACATTCCGCCATCTTGAAACTGAGTAGCCGCCAGGGCTGGCGTGATGCTTCAACGCAGTGTTGATTTTTATTTTTACTGCCCTGCGGAGTGAAATAGTATTTAGCAAGTGAATGGCTTCATTTTTAAAAATGTTTCTCGGAACGCTCATATTTGATTATTCCAGAAGTAGATAATGCGGAATGGGTCTTCAAACTGTAACTGAATTGATTCGTTTGCGGTATTTTGAATATTTTAATATTGAAATCTACTCGACATATTTACTCTTTAAGATTGTTTTCATTTTTCGCCTGCGTGCCGCACAGCTAATGACAATTGCTATTATCAATTTAATGTCAAGTGCGAAATATTCGAATATCCTTTGGTGCAAAGATAACTGATAGCAGCTCATAACTGATAAAAAAAATCAAAGAAAAACAGATACATAGATAGTTCAACAGAAAGAGGGGGATTATAAATGTTCGTGAATTCCGATACGATCACATTTTCTAATAACACCATTAAGGAAAGGACATCAACTGATTCGTTTTCGAACCGTTTTTCACGCGCTCATTTCTATTTAAACTTAAAGAGTAAGGTGCCAAAAGCGCCTTTTACAAGTTACATATAAGTAGAGAGCAGTCGATGCAAACGACGAACAGTTGCTTACTTTTTGAAATTAGGGTTTATTAACTGCGCTTTTTGCTGCGGATTTTGCAAAATGTTTGCAAAGATTTAGTTAAATAACTCTTAAATTCGTTTCTACTATAAAGCGCTTAAAGTTGTGTTTAGTAATTACATTTTTCTTTAAGAATTAATTGTTACACTGCTCGAATGGTTTTACAATTATTTTGTGCCTGCGTCGGTTTCCATCCATCTAATCGTACTTCAGATTTGTCTGCTGTTGCCTCTCTTGAAGCTCGTTGGACCCACATCCCGGGTGAGCAACGGTAACATTAAAAGCAGGTAGTGCCATGCATTTCCTAACAAAATTGCAGACGCATTGGACATACTGATCGGGATATTTGGTATAGATCTTAACGTGCTCAGCATCCTCGAAGCAAGCCGACGTAACATCAATTCCTTGATCGCGACGCAGCCGAATGAACTTCTCTACATCTTTATAAGGGATAACCACATCGCCCTTGGAATACAAAAAAAGCTGGGGATATTTGTTTGCTTCATTTTTTAGATCACAAAATGGACTGGCGTGGACCGGTGACGATTTCACAAATAAGCTTTTAAAGGCCGCAAACGTTTCCTTGAAAACTGGAGCCGTTAGATCTTCGCTTTTCTCGATCGTTAAATTCTACCTACCTCCAGAAACCACAGGAAACTCAGGCCGATTGTTATTACCAGCGCTGAAATGCAATTGCAGCGCTTTTCCTTTCCGTAAATGGCCGTAATAGCGCGATACAACCCCAACATACGGCGCTCGCCAGGTGCAGAGTCGAAGATGACGCCGCGCACCTGCAGCGGAGACTTGTGCTTGATGACAGCCAAATTAATGTGCTGATACAAATAGGCACCGCCATTGGAGAAGATGTGAAAAATCAGAGGGTGAGCATCAAAGTTCATGTCTTGAATTAGCTTGAGGATCTTTTCGCCAATAGGAATCATCTCGGAACGCTTCCAGAATAATGTGTCCACCGGTGCCGTATATCGAACAGTAATAAGGCTGAAAGAGAGGGAAATGAAACCCCAGGCGGCAGAGAGCTCCACAAACTTACCCTCTGTCCTCGTATATCTTGGAATACTTCATCAAATAGCGGTCCTGGCATCCCGCCCAGCCCAGCAGCATTACAATGGGAACATTGTTATCCTCGTTGTCATTGTCATTGGCCAAAACAAAATCGTTCTCTGCAGAGGGCTTGGGAAACTTGATGAAATATTCCAAGGCATCTTCTCGCTCTAGACCTCCGACTCTTCTAGTCGCCGTTGCTCCGTACTGAGTGGCCATATCATCCGCTGAGAGGCCATACGGATGTGTTGATGGAGACGACATCTTGTCATCTAAATCTGTAATCTCCACTCACTTGAATTTCTTATATAATAAAAACACAATTGTGATTTGTTGGGTTTTGAGAGCTTTTTTGCTTGGTTACGCAAAGCCTACTGCCAGGATACGCTTCGCTCGAAGTCCTGCGGCATGTGTATTGATTTTATCAGCCCCCCAACGAATACTGATTAAAAATGTCAACGATGTCCGTTTTGTTTCTAAGGACAGTTGCTCCAGCTCATTGATTTTTTTCACCCAGCCACCAGCCACACAGCACCAGACAACGATAACTTGACCTTCCTTCGCCAAAAATGCTTCCTGATGCAGTAGCAGTAGCAGTAGCAGCAGCAGCAGCAACAGCAACATGCCGCATTCCAATGGAAATGGCCGTTGCGGTTGCCGCTTCCAGCCGGTGGTCCTCTTCGCCATTGGGTTGGACATGCGCAGTGGGCTTGCCCGACTGATGTGCGTAATATGCAAAAAGGTGAAAGTTGTTTCCAAACCCCCTTGGAGCCATCGTAAAAAAAAAAAATACTCTTTGTTTCTTCAAAATGGGGTAGCATTTTCCAGATTCAACACAATTTTAAATCGAACTAACCATATATGGACGTACATATATATGTAAAACCAACCATCTAATTACCATTTAATATTAAGTGCCGTTGAGAGTTTCTCAACTGCATGGTAGCTAGTATGGAGCAGCTCATTTGACTTGTCCGTGTGGGACCCATCAAGAAAATCTCTATAGATCAGCTTCGTGTGTGCGTTGTCAGGCTGAGAGCGAGGAAGTTTCTTATACAACTCCTCAAGCTGCTGGGTTAGCTCGCGGACGTGCTGGCCAGTGGTGGGACGCACCTGGGCGCCACCATTGATGCAGCCGGAAGGACAAGCCATGACCTCAACAAAATGATAGCTGGCCCCCTTGCCTCGCTTTAGCTTTTGCACCAGATTCTGTATGTTTCGAAACCCATTCGCGATAGCAAACTTCAAAACTGTCTTGTCATCCTTTTCCAGCGAAATCTCTCGAAAGTCACGATTTCGGAGCTGCTTGAAACTCAGCTCGGTGGGTGGAGCCTCGTTAAAAAGTTCTTTGGCTGCAAATTTAAAGATGTGCTCTGCGTAACCGCCAGATAGTGTAGCCTCGTGTGACCAGACCATTGATTCCGGTCTCTGTTCCGACCAGGGCCAGTCCAGATCTGACGCTTCGTGCTCGGAAAGTGACCGTTCATCTTCGTTCAACATTTGTTCCACCTCAACTACAAGTATAAGAAATTGAAATTATTAATTTGTTTTAGTTTTTCATTTTGTTCGCTTCCATGATCCACTGACCTGAAGTAATAACACAGTCCACATCCCGCGATTCATTCACTTCACTGTAGAAATCCATGCGCGACGCTTCGAGCTTCTTGTCGTAGCAAGGCATCACTGTGACGTGGTAGATCCGTGAACCAGGTATATTCAGTTTCTCCGCTAGAAATTGCTTCACCAGCACTCCCATAATCTGTTGCGGTGAGCGCGTGGTTGCTATGTAAGGTAGTATAAAATTGCCATGTGTCTTCTCTGCGTAGCATACCCATCCAGGGCACGAAGAACTTAGCATAGTCAACTCCTCGTTGTCGCGGTATCGTTCTACGAACTCCTGCTGGCACTCCAGGAGCGCGAGGTCGTCAGCCACTTTGGTGCACAGGACATAGTCCACTCCCAGGCTGCGAAAATAGCCGGCCAAGTGTCTGGCAGTTTCTTCCGCACTTAACTGATAGCGATGGGCCAGGCTCAGAAGGGGCTGTGTGGCAATGGTGAAAACAATTGTGCGAACTTGTTCCATGTCCCCTGTAGCTTTAACTTTTGCATTTTCCCGCAATACCTTCAGTAGCTCTTCCTCGCTTTGTTGCGTGATAAGCACAGATTCGGCTGAGGTTATGCAGCCAGAGCAAGCCAGGCAATCCTGCAGAGTGATTTCCACCTTCTGCAGCTTTTGTTTGCCGCTCTAAAATACATTTTTAGGAAAAGGAAAAACGGTCCTTTGCATCCATCCACTTAACTTACCTCTGATTCCTCGTAGTACCCATCCTCCTGCACAGTGATTTTAGCTCCAGTCTTTGATGTTGCTGTCTTATCTACCGTCACTGGCTTTATACATTCCTAAGTGGATCATTGTGAAATAGCGTTAAACGTTAAATTGCTTTGAATACTGAAACCATACTTTGCTGATACCGAACCTGTGATGGTGTAATGAAATCATCTAAATCAGTGAGCTGCAGCGCACCACTGAACCTCGACATGGCTCTGATTATTTATTTTGTGTAATAAAAAAATCACCTGCAAGAAATTCGAAAACAAGGTTCACTGTTGCCAAATGGGCTATTTTATAGCTAGTTCTGCTCTTTAGAAAATCTGGCTCGAATGTCCACCGAATTGTGACCGCAATGTGGAATCCAAGCTCAGGAATAGGGACGTGAATATTATGCATTAAGTAATTAAATTACTACTAAATGATATTCATAAATTGACGTGATTATACTAAACATTTTTGGTTTAATAATTTTACATTTACTAATTTAGAGATAAAACGGCTATTTAGTCTTCTTAAAAGTGGGAATCAGCACAGCACTGATCCAGGTTGCATTTTATACACATCGATAAATATATCATTTATGATTTATGAATTTGAAATCATTCTATTTCTCGTTTTTGGATGCGAGTGCAAATAATACTAATTATTGTAGTCTGAATTCAATTATGAGGTGAACACCACATGGTTCTTAAATTTATTTTTTTTATATATGTATGTATGTGTATAGGGAAAAAGTATATCATGTCATCCAGGTTCCAATGAATTCTTTTTATGGTCTGCTTGATATCGGGATCGAGATATATATATATATATATACATATGAATATACATACACACAGAGAACAATTACAATGAATAGGTAACAAATATTTCAGTCCTTGAATAAAACATTATTAAATCATTGAAAAACTTGAAAAACATAACTTGAATATTAATTTTTAAAAACTGCGTCTGTTTATTTGTGTTTGTTTATTAATGCCATCTTTATTTTATAAACAATCCAATGAAAAGGACTTCTTAAAAGTAGCAAATCTTGTAGAAAAGTTATGTGTGCAGGTCAAAAAGTACTACCCAATATTAAACCGAATATCCAAATCGAGAATTATTATTTCCGATCATGGACAAAGAGGAATTAACCCATTGCCGACCAGTTGATATTAAAATAAATTCCACCAAAATTATGAAACTTGAAGAATATTAGCGCAGTTCACGAGAAAGATGTCGTGGTCTTTTTATTTTTTAAGTAAATACAGATCTATCTTAAGTATTTACAAACATAACTAATTTCCGCAGCTTCAGTCAAGTTACACATCTTTTTAAATGAAAGGGGGTTAGGTGGGTTAAATTATTTTTTTTTCATCGGTATAGATATGAACAAAACAAAACAAGAACTCCTTCGGTAAAATTTAAGTTGTTTATGTTATTTTATTGCATATATCCGGAGTCCGGTGTAATCCAAAAAAGTATTCATTCTCTAACGAATAGATAGTTATTACACAAAAGAAAAGATGCGACGCCGAGAACTCCAAACTATTCAACTAAAGCTATCTGAACTGAAGGAGTATGAACAAGCGAAGCTGGAGCGGATTAAGACGCGCCAGCAGGTGGTGACGCCGCGCACGCCAACCCCCCCCTCGGACAACGAGGTTTTGGCGATGCCCTCAACCAGCGTTCCAGCAATACTCCTGGCTAGTGGCGCTACTGAAACCGAGGAAGATGCTTGTTCCACGACCAAGCCCACATCGTCTATGTAACTCGCCCTGCAATCGAAGGCCTGCCTGACTTCGCTCTTGGTATTCGTAAGTTGAGATTTAATATCTGTTTTAGGCTTACATTCGATAATCATCCGGGCTGCTGTTGTTGTTGTTCTGAAAACGAACTGTTTCGAAGCCATCTACGAGGATCTCGCGATCTTCTGTATGATGGCGCTCTCGCAACCATTGTACCACGGGTACATAGCGACGGAGACCAGGCAGTTTTCGCCAGCACCGGCGTTTGTAAAAAATCCACATTAGCGACAGCGAGCAGCCGAAGAGGAAGCAAACCAAAAATATGCTTATGCCGCGTGAATGAGACGAGGCTGTTTTCACCTGTGAGACACCTAGCGAGGTGTTAAGTTGCTTTGTCGGTCTACTGTGGGGAAGTATTTGCTCCTGCTCACTGCACCAAGTGATTGCCACATAAGGTGTCAGCACGTCTCCTGCGAGGGAATGTACCCGGACGGCGCATTCGCTGAAGGTTACGTTCAGCTGCGCCGCGTACACGTACTCAGCTGTGGCGTGCTGCAGCCTGGTCAGGCAGCTCATATGGCTGTCGGACAGGTTGTTGCGATAGTGTACTACATAGCTGACCACCTGCCCATTCGGCTGGACGGGCTCGGCAAAGCGAAGGATGTACTTGTTGCTGTCTGGGACACGACAGGCGGTCAATTGGGTCAGTAGGTCCGCTCCCAGTGTGTAGTTGGTGCGCTCGTTGAGCGTAGTGTGGCTACTGCATCCCAGATCGCTGCAAGCCTGAAGCTGGAGTGAATAGAGTCGATACCGCTGCAGCTGGCGGAGTTCGTACTCCGAGGTGTTGAAGGGTAGTTGCACCCTCAGCAGAGGGGCATGCTCCTGGTCCAAATCGTGACACTGATCTTGGTTATCCAGGCTGCACCGATACTGCTTTCGCATCTCTGCAATAAAGTAATGATCGTCTGCCTGTTCCGCCTGGTGTGCGCAACAATCATCGTAGTCCTCAAATGCTCGCCATTGCCCGCCATCCATATCTTGCCACAAATAGGAGGGCTGGTGGCAGTAATCGCGGCTATCGATGTAAGCCTCATCGTCCTCCAGCTCATATACAGTCAACATATAGTGATGGTGATTATGACTCTTCATACGCACTGTCAGCGAACTATCTGTTTTCCTTACAAGTTCCAGCAGCGGTGGCTGGGGTATGTCCCGTTCCGTCTGCACGTAAAGCAGATCGCTGCGTGCCTCCTGGCTGAGATCACCTCCGAAAGTTCGTAGTAGGCAGGCGTACCGAGTGTCCGGCTCTAGCTTGTCTAAAACGAAGTAGTAGTGGGTACCATTTTCGGAAAGCTCATCGGGGAAGAGAAGGCGGCGCTGCCAATTGATGCGTATGCACACTGGAGCTTCCAGCTCGCTTTCCTCTGGATAAAATACTCCTGGCGGCAATGGTCTGTGGACCAATTCAAGCTCATGGCTGGTTTGGGACTTAGGCCAGCTTAGTTTCACAGTGCGATGTGTGCGTTTCTGAAAGTGAAGATATGATTAAAACGAAGAAACGGGAGTGTGCAAATCAGCTTGCTCCAGCTACAATCATCTCTAAGACCTAAGCGTTAAACAAGGGCAGAAAGACGGACGGATGGGCGGACAGACGGAAAGATAACTATTTATGTACTTTTGAGTACCGGTTTTAATGATGTGTGGATTGACTTAGCTTACTTGTACAAATAGCAGCAACTTTGATGGACTGCAGAGAACCTCTTGGTCGCTGGTCTGCAATGAATCCAGTGACCTGTCATGAGTCACGACACCCTGGAACTCCTTCATATGCTTGTTGCACAGTTTGTTGTTGCGATGCATGAACATGCCACCCTCCACGAACTCCAGCTTACTCTCTGGCTTCCAAAGTTCGCCCAGTTGCTTGTTGTCATAGAGTATAAGAGCGTAGTGGCGATTCTCCAGAGGATCTCCATGAATCCGCTCCAATTTGCTAAGGAATTTTAGGCTTCTAAGCTGGGACGATCTACAAAAAGGCGAGATTTTACTCACTGATGACAACCTACCGTTGTCCGTTGCGATGCGTACCGATATACTTTAAGGTGTCCACGTATTTCACGAATGCTGGTCAGGCTCTGGACCAGCTGTGTCTCGTTCACTTGATTGCGTATGGTTATAATCAGGCTTCCATTGACTATCTGGCAGCCACGGAGCTCCTCTGCGTCTCCAAGATTGTAAATGGTGATCGCATTGCTTGACGGTTCGGGCGAACATACACTGATACAGGCCTCCTGCGGTCCACAGCGCATGCACTCGTTCTTCTCATTGGCCCTGTAGCCACTTGGACAGAAGCCGACGCACTGAGAAACGAATGTAAAGTGGTTGTGCTTTTTCACGCACTCCTCCTGGGTGTAGCAGCGCTGATACTGCTCCAGGAGATACCTGCAAAAGGAATTACATTTAAGATGAGGCATCAAAAAATAAAATTTAAAAATTGCCATCTTCGAGCCTTGCTAACTCACTTGCGTTCCGGGCACCTCTTCACACAGACGCCTTCGTCGCTGATTCCGCGACAGATCTGGCAGGCGGTTGCTGATCCGTTTTGGTGACAGCCCCCCAGACACTCGTCATGGCAGTAGTCAACTTTTCTGTACAGTGTAGCGGAATTAAATGTCATTGGCCCCATGACTTGTCAAGGCCTTTACGAGTACTTACACCTTATAGTGGGCGACATTGTCATTTTGGGACCGCTGACACTTGAACGTTGACCAGCAGTAGGAAGAGTCGCATCCCCTGCAGACACTTGTGTTGCACCTGCTGGATCCAACCATGATGTGATTCTCACCCCGGCTAAGGGTCAGAAGATCCCAATTAACCTAGTTGGGGAGGAAGGGCAAATGCAGCATTATACATGACAACTGAAACATTTCACCTGTTACACAAACCCCTTCGTGCTGACAGAGTTTGGGACAATTTCCAATGTATACATGGCCACGTTGGATTGCCACCAGCGAGGGGAATTCCAGCTGGAAAGGGAGGGAAGCGTTGATTGGAATTTCTACCTGGCATTGCTGTTATTCTTTTACGTATTCTAGGTCCGGCATATTGGTCACTCCCAGGGCGTAGTTGAGAAACAGCCGACGGCCGCGTATGACAGTCAGATTTGGAAACATTTCGTCGACGCGGGTTAGTCCTCGCACCTCCGTGAAGATCATGAATTCGGTAATTTCCTTCAGCTTCGGAAACTTGTACGTTGAGTAGTTGCAGTACGGATGGGTGGCAATGAGCGTGATCATCACGTAGCCGGTAACCACGGTGCAGTTGTCCAGCAGGTGCATTTTGCTGCACTCATTGCGAATGTCGATGCTGGTACACTCGTGCTCCGGGCCCGCAGCTGCCGCAACCGCACCCACACCCACGCCGCAGCAGACCGTGAGCACCAAAAGAATCAGACCGACAACGTTGTGGCCAAAACCCATGCTGTGATTTTGATTCTTGTTCTCTGCGTGTTGCTCTTTCTGCTGATTCTGCTGAGACCGAACGCTCCTCCACATTGCTTAGCTCTGCTTTCGATCCGATATTCTTACAGTTATGTACATATGTATGTATTGCACTTGCGCCGTCTTTCTTGCACTCTTGCTGCCGTGTGGCTAATTAGCGCGCTCGCTGGCCGCCCATCTTGATTAGCCCAATTTTTATGAGAGCGGCTCTTCGCGCTGATGTTTCAGCTCGCAATCGGGGGCGAAAAATCACACGAGTTTGCGCTCCCGAAGGGGTTTCTTCTCTTTGTTTTTGGACACTGCTGATGCTTAGCTGTCGAAAAGCTCCAGAATAAGCAAATACTTGCACTCACGCACACACACAAACAATGGAACTGGACACTAAAAATTGATGTACGTGTGTATGTAGTATACGCACGTTACACATTATTTATTTGTATGTTTTCTGTTTGTACTGTTTTATTTCTCTTTGGCTATTCATGTTATTTACTTTACGCTCTATTCCCTGTCTCACGTTTACGGGAAAAGGCTGTCCGTCTCTTTTCGCAGCGATTCAGTGCATGAGAGTGTGCGGTGCGGGCTTACCCTGAACTGGGGTGATCTCAAAACTTGCCACGGCTGAAGATCATATTGATGCGATGCGATAAGTTCGAGTCGTTTTTTTTTTGTATAATACTACTTGGATTTTGTGATTTAACCAAATTTTGTAACAGCCACATACATATGTTTTCCTATCCTTTCAGAAACGCCTTGGACAATGACTATAACTTTGACCGCATCGTCACAATCTCTCGATCGCTGAACTACCAAATATGTACAAGTAGATGTATCATTTTATTTAATAGAATCGGGTTCTTCGAGGCTCACGGAATTTCGAACGACTGTCTGTTAGTTAGTCAGTCTGTAGTTATTAAGCACTCGTTTAATTTCTTTACTATAACAAACCCCAAACTGTTCGATGTAAGCAATCACGCAAGAATAAATCGTAGACTATGAAGAAATTTCACGACGACACCTGCAGTTTGGGGAGAATGTTCAGACGATGTGCCCCTCGCAACGATCATTTGCCGACTGGCCGTCTGGGACCGGACCTCGTCTGTCTGTGGAGAGCAAACAAATTGATTTTTCATTTAGTGTCTTATGCGGCCGACCCTGGGGTATCCAAAACAGTTGATACACTGCCCCAGCGGGGCCTTTTCTGTATTACCGCATCAGACGCAGGCCGTAAATTGATTAAAAGGGCGTTTGATTTCCGAGAAAAAGTTAAGAGTCAAATTAATGCGTCGTTTGCGCTAGTGGCACCATACCTTATGCAATGGAATCGTTCTGGGCTCGGATTGATGCCCACTAATTCTCTCAGTGTAGTCTTCGGACTTTTACTGCTTCGTTCTTGGCCGCCAGCATCTGCATTCGGCTAAGAGTTTTGGCCAAGGACCAACCAGCTCATAAAACAGCTGACTCCAACAGCTGCTTGGCATTGATTGTCGGCCCCAGAATCGGTATACATACATAGACAGTCCCACACATACACACACACACACACACACACACAACACACCGACAGACAGACAGACAGCAGGAAATCAAGTCAGAGGAATCCTATACGGTACAGAAGCATTCAAGCATTCAAGAAGTTATTAACTTTAACGAGCGGGAAAGAGAAGTTCTGACAGCATAGACTATGCTGATTCATAATATGAGCACGAAATTTGTACACACTTGAATTTGTGGCATACATACTATAGTACTATAGTACTTGAACTCTTTTTGAGCTGAAGGAAAATTGAATAAATATATCCGCTTTTAACAGACTTTGATTAGAATTGATTGGTTTCGCCCTTCAGCTATGAAGGGCTATGCGAAATTAAATTCCGCTGATTCGATTCTGAAATTAAAAGTGGACAGTCGGAGTTTTTGCTGTCGATACGTGCGCTCTTTGAGTTATTACTAAGTTACTCTGGAAGAGAGAGAGAAAGAAAGGCCGAACAGTAAAATTGTTTTCCTTTTTCTGGCTATAATAATGATCCGACTCCAGCCCGGCCACAAAATTTCTCGACTTGCGACTTTAAGAGTAAGTGAAGCTCATTTGTATAGAAGATCATTTCATATTTTTCAAGCAGCAACGAATGGTTCGTGTCAAAGTTCAATTAATTCAATTAAATTAATTGATTGGGTGCATGCGAGTGCTCTGATCCACATATAAGATCAATGGAAGGTGCTATACAAGTACATGCACTACATATGTACCTATGTATGTATTACATACAATGGATATTGACTTTAAAAAATATATTTGAATTATAGTTTATAATGCTAAATTCACTATTGATATCTGACGTAATATAATGATTGGGTTAAGTTGCTAGTATCCAGTCGGTGAATTGTGTTACGGACGTGAAGACACTCGGCAGTCCGCCGCAATTGTCAGAGCCGAAGGACATGATGCCAATCTGTGGAAGGGACTGTTAGCTTGCAATTCCAACGAAGTACAATTCACCTGTACCTGTGAGAAGATTCCGTTCTCCTGTATGAACAGGGGCGCTCCGCCAAAGCCCTGGCAAACATCCTTGCCCTCGCCGCCGGCGCACATCCATTGTCCTTCAATCGAATTGGGAGACTCGAGGGCGCCAGTAGAGCCATAGTTGCGCAGACAGAGGTCCCAGCTGGTCAGCGGCACATCCAGATGTGTCATCTCAGGCTGGCGAATACTCGCCGTGGAAATCTTGCCCCATCCGGCGATGGTCGCCCGCTTCCCCACCACCAGGTTGGCGCGTGTCTTCTGCAGACAGATCGGCTGTGTGGCCACTACCGAGAATACATATAAATGGGAGGGAGGGCTGCTATTAATCTTAGGTCCGGCTGCTGTAGCAACATTGTTGCATGCCATGACCCATTGATTAATCCCGTGTTCGGCTCACGTTCTTTTATTGGTCATTATAAGGCAGTAAGGGTAACCAAGAACAAGTTGGCCGGCCATCTGGGTAACGCCCAATTTGGTTCGCACATAATGTGTTGCTTGCGACGTGGACACCATGCAATTAGCCAATCGATTTCGGATCTTCGGATCTTGAGTCCAGTGTCTGTAACGACTCTTATTTGTTGTGATATTTTTGGAGTGACTGCCATAAAGTTTTACGCTTTCATCATCACGTTTCGGTTAAGGCCAATCTTTCAGTCGGCAACCAACAATTTAAAAGTATCAAGCAACAGTTCTCAAAAAGATCTCAATGGAACGAATTATTAATGTAATGTATTCTTCCGTTGTTGCTGAAAAAGATCTCGGTCTACAAGTCCTACGAATTTTTCTCTTTTTCTGCAGCCATGATCGATCGATGATTGATTAGAACGTATAAAGAATTACATTACAGCCACATAGAAAATGAACTGGCTTGAGCTTCAGGTCTCCTTCCATGTTCTACAATATATCGCAAAGCTATGCAGAATCTTGAATCCAAAGTTCGTAGCCATTGAGCCGAAACTAAAAGCTGAAAATCAAAGCGGACCATTGCCCAGGTCGCGCTCAAGTCATTAGCTGCAACAGCAAGCACGCACCAAAGCCCAACGCCGCCCAATTAAGCGATCAACAGCAACCAGCAACCAGTAAGCCATACCCAGTACAGTCCCCTCTTGTGGGGGATGGGATCCTAACCTTAAATTAGCGACATGCGACCCAGATGGAGGGTAAACATGGAGCATGGTCGACATTTGTGAACTTGGAGCGAGTGGATGTAGAGATGACAGAACAAAACGATTTTTAATTAACGTTGACACTGCCATGCGGAACCGCCCCCTGGGACCCCATTCACGAATACTCCTCTATCACTATGCCTCTTATTGGCACTTACCCGAGTAGTTGAGCGGCGTTTTGAGTACCAGGAGGGCAATGTCATGATGGTAGCTGCCTTGCTTGTAGTCTGGATGGACGATCACATGGCTGATGGCATGATTCACGGAGCGTGGAGCGCAGAACCCGGTGTTGGCGCAGTCCGGATCGCTGGAGGTGTCGTACTCACCCACGCGCACTGACGACCTGCAAGAGTCGAGTGAAAGTCGATTAGATCCGATAAGTACGAGTCCATCCGGTTGCCACTGGAGTCTGTGACCCACTTACAGTCGATGCCCATCGGCCTTGGCCAGCGCACAGTGGGCGGCCGTCAGGATGACACGGCGCGCGATGACAGCCCCAGCACATGGATAGGCAAAGGCTCCCGTATTGACATCTGAAATAAGCGCACATCATGGCTACTCGAATCATCAGATAACATCAGGTGCCACTTACCCTTACACTGCGTTGCAGCAGGGGTTGAATTATTTGTAAGCTTAGAGATAATAATGGATATAATATGGTAAAGGGAATTATAATCCGAGCAAAAGACCCTTAATGGTTTATGCAAGGAATAATACGATCTACAAAGCGGAAGGGACAACGGTATATGTATAGTATCTAGTGGGTCTAGGAATCGTGAAGTTTATGCGGCTCAACAAATCAGGGCTATCTACGTCACCCTTGATCAAGTTGTGCACAAGAATCCCACCAAGCTTTTTTCTGCTTGGGAAAGATGGCAATCTCACAATTGCATCCCAGTTAACTAGCGAGGTACAAATTCCTTTGACCACTTCTTTATAAACCCAAGCACGGCCATGGCCCATGGTATGGCGTCCAAAATCAACTAGGGTAATTCCCTCAAGAGAACCATCGCAGAATAAGTAAGTAGCCAAAAAGTAGCTGAAACGATAAAATGTCATTTAAATGCATACATGCATTTATATAGAAGGTAATAAGACATATATACAATTTAAAATTTGAATTATTTCCAACACCAAATTTTATGAGAGAAGTATTTCAAAAGTTATAGTATGCCCTTGGATTTTTATTGGTTTCGGCTTTGATCTTAAGATCTTAAGAGTTGTATACTTTCCCTGAAATGTTTGCGTCAGAGAGAAAATGTCATCTTGAATTGAAAACGTAAGATTGCATCGGTTGCTTTGTATTTGATTACCTTTTTAGAATAGGCACTTTTCAAATAGACGACAAAAGAAAAATCAAATTTGAATCAAATTGCTCAATTACAATATTTGTTGCCTAATGAATATTGGACTGAGAAGAGTAAAAAAACGCACAAATATATAAACAAATGGGTAATCTTAAACCGATCAGAAAATTTAGAACGTTTAGCCCCACAAACAGTCGTCATATACATAACACGATTCGCCTCAACGATTGGCCTAAACGAAAGCCACTAACAAAAGATTTCCTCACAGCCACGATACCAAAGTGCGGCGGCTGCCACGAACTGATCTTGGACCGATTCATCCTGAAGGTGCTGGAGCGGACGTGGCACGCCAAGTGCCTCCAGTGCAGCGAGTGCCACGGCCAACTCAACGACAAGTGCTTCGCCCGCAACGGTCAACTTTTCTGCAAGGAGGACTTTTTCAAGTAAGTAAATTTCTCTAATGCCAGCCGGAGTGGCTGGAGGGGCTGAAGGGACACCGCCTAGTTGAAGCGTCGCCGGTTTAATGAAAAATCTCCCCTTGCCCCATTGCCAATGTTTGGGTCGAACAGACGGTACGGTACAAAGTGTTCCGCTTGTGATATGGGCATACCGCCAACGCAGGTGGTGCGCCGGGCCCAGGACCACGTCTATCATCTGCAGTGCTTCCTGTGCGCGATGTGCTCCCGCACTCTCAACACGGGCGACGAATTCTATCTGATGGAGGACCGCAAGCTCATCTGCAAGCGCGATTACGAGGAGGCCAAGGCAAAGGGTGCGTGACGTGAGAGGTCCTTGGCAAAAGGCAATGGCTAGATTTGATTCTTGGTTAAATTGCAGGTCTCTACCTGGACGGCGATCAGCCGAACAAGCGTCCCCGCACCACAATCACCGCCAAGCAGCTGGAGACCCTGAAGACCGCCTACAACAACAGCCCCAAGCCAGCCCGACACGTTCGGGAGCAGCTGTCGCAGGACACGGGCCTAGATATGCGGGTGGTCCAGGTCTGGTTCCAAAACAGGTAGGTGTCTATCTGTCAGATATCTGTCTTAAGTGGTAACGGCACTAACCTTAGTTGCATTTTCTAACAACATTACAGGCGGGCCAAGGAGAAGCGACTGAAAAAGGATGCGGGACGCACCCGATGGAGTCAGTACTTCCGCTCCATGAAGGGGAACTGTTCGCCACGCACTGACAAATTCCTCGACAAGGATGAACTAAAGGTCGACTATGACAGCTTCAGTCATCATGGTAAGTTTGTCCTCTGCCTGATAGCAGAATAAGTCATTGGTATTATTGGCCGTGTCCTCGGAACAGATCTAAGCAACGACAGCTACAGCACCGTCAATTTGGGCCTGGATGAGGGCGCCTCACCGCACAGCATACGTGGCTCCTACATGCATGGGAGCTCTAGTCCGTCACAATACCCGCCGAGCAGTCGCTCGCCGCCGCCAGTCGGCCAGAGCCATACGTTTGGCTCCTATCCAGACAATATTGTGTACACCAATATAGGTGAGTGGCTCGCGTGCTTTCTCTACGAAAACAGAAAAGAGAGGAGTCCCCAGTCTGTGTCTAACGTCTGTTTTCCGAATCCCGGCTCAGATCATGCGACGGGCTCTACTCTGCACACCAGCAAGTCACATCACCGCCTGCACAGTAGCAACAACGTCTCTGACCTGAGCAACGACTCGAGCCCCGAACAGGGCTATCCTGACTTTCCGCCGAGTCCCGATTCGTGGCTGGGCGACTCGGCCAGTACCAACAACACCAGCAACAACAACAACACCAGCAACAGCAACAACAACGGGGGCAGCGGCAGTGCTGGAGCCAGTGCGAATGTCACCAACGCAAACCCCGGAACGCCAAGCGTACATTACTGATACTCAAATCTGCTTTTGCGTTATTTTGAGATGCAGTCCCGCAGTCTTCTTCTCTCTGCCCAGCAACAACAACAGAAGCTGTAGCAGCGCCATGTTGAAAGCTCTCAGTAACAGCGACAGCGAAGCTAATCGGTTAACGGGAGTGAGTCAGGAGATGTGGCAACGCAGCTGAGTTAAGATTGTAGATTTCAAGTTAATGCCATTTGGGTGCGTCTTTATATACCGATTCGTGTCCGGCATACAGATCCTGATCAAGAGCGAAACATAAATATCAATTACATAGTTCTAAAATTAACAAAAGCAAGAAGCATCTCTCAACTTTTTGGGTAGGCAGGACATCTGTTGATGGGGTCCGAGTCGCCCCCACATGGCATAACCCTTACAGCCTTATTTTTTTATTTTAGATAAACCAAACCCTTACAAAATTTGCTCAAAATAATTCATTTTCTTTACTTGGTCATCGGCATCGGATCGGTGAACTGAACACAGAATACGTATTGGTACTTACCTTAAAGCTTAATTGATTACATCACATCTTGGAAAGCCGCTCTATCATTTACCATTGTAGCCCTGATATTTAATTGTAAATAATGTATATTTGTGTATAGTGAATGAACTCTAAAATTGAATTTTAAATTAAATTAAGTCTGTATAGCGATAGCGTCAAACAAATGCGGAGTATGGTAGTAGAGCGAAATATGCATACGTATGTAAGACTCGAGCCCAAAACAAGTTATTTATTGCTTTATATAGGAATACAACAAAATTGCATAGGAGAAATATCAATTACGAAAACGTGATGTCGTAGTTATGTATATCTAAACCCAAAAACGAAAAATATTTCAACAGAATAGAAATGTCAGTAAAAAAGCAACCACGTAAAACAAATGATAAAACGAAGGAATTCGATTGGAATTCTTCCAACAGATTTTGGTTTTTGGTTTTTTTTTATTTTTCATTAAAAAACTCAGCAGTTTCTGAAGTGAAAGTCATATTTTGGAAGTGAAAAATGTTTTCTGTATTTTCTGAGGTACTATCGAAAAATATTTATTTGTAGATTGTGATTTGAAAGGTATTCGCGAGTAACAGCTGGTGTCACACGATCCACTTTATCTTACTGCAACTTTGGCAGCAATGGTGTATCCTGAACTGCACAGTGGCAATAATAAATCTCATTATTTTTTTTTGCTAATACGTGACTGGCTTCATTTAAAAATCGCGCCAAATAAAATTATTTTTGGAATTAAAAATTTTTCTTAAAATCATAGTTTGTTGCCTTCAAAATGCTTTAATTTTGTCTACATCTCTCTGCAAAACCCGATTTATTGTTGTCATTTTACTGTGCTAGCGGTGAATCGATAATCGAGAGCTCAGTTTTCTTTTAGTTTGAAAGCCTACACAAATGAACGTAAATGGCGCTACTGAGCAGGTGGCGCCACGGCCACTGCTTGACCTAAAATAAAACTAGACTGTATAATTCTGAAAAGCGATTTCTTAGCATATTTTTGGGTGTACATGTAGACATGAAACCTATCGGGTACAATTCGATTAAGCAAATTCAAATTTATTATTAGATAATTTTTATTCTGATAATTATATATTTTGTTATTGTTGTTATTGTTTTATATAATTTATATAAACCAAAGCCCCTAAACATTCAGTGTGATTCAAAGGATATTTCGTTGGGGATAATTGGCGCTAATTAACGATTAGTAAAGATTATATTATGGCTATAGACACCTACAGCCCCTTACCCCTGTCCGTTGCCACACTTTAATTTAATTTTACAGTATAGCATAGAGAAAATAAATAAATATAAAAAAATATATTTAATTTAATAATGGTCACAAGTCAAACTTTGGCAATTTACTCACAGCTTAGCTATGTTAATGGGCACATAAAAACGTAAAAAGGTAACGGTTCGTACCGAAATTGCAGAGGGTTTTTTTGCACAAGCACAATCACATCGCAGAGGCATCAACGTATATACGCATTATGTGCCTGAATGATGTCTGAATGTACACTACTGGTCAAAATAATAAGTACACGCTTTTGACCTTTTCAATAAACGTAGGGAACAAATTTAATTCACTTTTAGTGTTCCGACCTACAGTAGATTATAATAATCTGAAACAAATTAATTTCACACTTCAAATATGTACATATATACTCAGTTTGTGTTCGATTGAATAATATTGAATATTGATTGAATAATAAGTACAGCAAGTTTACAAAACCAAAAACACAAATCGTATCAACATTTTGTATTATTTTCTTGTTATTGGGTTTCAGGAGAATGACTTGGCCACTGCATAACGTATAGCTTTTTCTCCAAAAAGATTTATTTTTCGTTTCGTCG